CAGCAGCAGCAGCAGCAGCAGCAGCAGCAGGGTGCGGTGGATCCGACAGCAGCAGCAGCAGCAGCAGCAGGAGCAGCAGGATGATGTTGCAGCAAAGGCACATGCATCGTTGCTGCTGCAGCAGCTGACAGGGCAAGATCCTTCTGCTGCTATTTTGAAGCTTCTAGGAGCAGGGGAGAGAGACACATTTGCTGCTGCTGCTGCTGCTGCTGCTGCTGCTGCTGCAGACGCAACAGCAGCAGCAGCAGCAGCAGCAGCAGCAGCAGCAGAGCAGCAGCAAGCAGTAAAACACCCACGGGATCGTCTTTGTGTTCAGCTGCCTCTGGGCGCCACAAAGGCATCACAAGGTCTCTCGCTTGCTGCTGCAGGCTCTCCTGCTGCTGCTGCTGCTGCTGCTGCTGCTGCAGCAGCAGCAGCAGCAACAGCAGCAGCAGCAGCAGAACCTGATTTGAAAGGGGATGCTGAGGGGGNGCTGCAGCAGCAGCAGCAGCAACAGCAGCAGCAGCAGCAGAACCTGATTTGAAAGGGGATGCTGAGGGGGGGCTAAACACAAAACCAACAAAAGACACAGATTTGCTGCTAGCTGATCTTCTAGCTGCGGTGGAGCAGCAGCAGCTGCTGCTGCAGCAGCAACTGCAGCAGCAGCAGCAGCAACAGCAGCAGCAGCAGCAGCAGCAGCAGCAGCAGCTAGTGCATGCATCGCCACAGGAAGATCTGGTGAGCACATTAGAATCTTTGTTGGATATCTTTGAGGGGGCAAAGAAAGAAGTAGGAGTAGATATATCTTTGCTGCAGCAGCAGCAGCAGCAGCAGCAGCAGCAGATGCTGCTGCAGCAGCTGCAGCAGCAGCAACAGCAGCAGCAGCAGCAGCAACACATGCTGCTGCAGCAAAGGTCACCGTGTATTGCTGCAGCAGCAGAAACAGAAGAAAATTTTAAGGAGAACGAATTCTCCGCCTCGCTGCTGCGGCTGCTGCAGGGGCAGCCAGCAGCAGCAGCAGCAGCAGCTGCTGCAGCAGCAGCAGCAGCAGCAGCAGCAGCAGACCCAGCAGCAGCAGCAGCAGCATGCACTGCAGCAGAAACGAAGACACCGGATACACTAAGCGCCTCGCAGCTGAAATGTCTACAAGACAAAATAGACAGCAGCAGCAGCAGCAGCAGCAGCAGCAGCAGCA